GTAATAAAAAATTCTCCCAGGAAACAAAAGCCATGGACGATGGCCTCATAGGTGAGCTGTATCAAGCGCACAAGAATCAACACCCACCCTTCACCAACTATCCCAAAACATCCAAGAGGAGGAAAGACTTTAAAGCTCTTTACAAAGCCATCATTACCCTAATTCCAAAATTGGATGAAGATACTACAAAGAAAGAAAATCATAGGCCAATATTCCTGATGAACATAGATGCTAAAATCCTCAACACAATATTAACAAATTGAGAAGATCATAGACCATAATCAAATTGAGATTTATTCCAGGGAGGCAAGGCTGGTAAAATATTCACAATTCAATAAATATGATAAATCATGAAAAACAAATGAAAGATAAAAACCACATGGTCATATCAATAGGTACACAAAAAATTTTGATAAAATCCAGCACCCATTTATGATAAAAACTCTCAGCAAAGTGGAAATAGAGGGAACATACCTCAGTGTAATAAAGGCCGCATATGACAAACCCACAGCCAACATCATACTCATTGAGCAAAACCCCAAAGTGTTTCCCTTAAGATCAGGAACAGGAAGGGATGTTTGCTTTCAGCACCTATTCAACATAGTACTGGAAGTCTTGGCCACAGAAATAAAAGGTATCTATATTGGAAAGGAGGAAACAAATCTGTCATTATTCACCAATAACATGATATTGTGCGTAGAAAACCAGGAAGTCTCCACCAAAAAACTGTTAAATCCTATCTAATATGTAAATTGACCATAATTCCAACACACAAGATGGCCGCCCCCATGTGGACACAAGATGGCCAGCAGGGGAGGGTAGTTGGGAGGGACCAGGCCTGCAAGGAGGGGAGTTGGGGACAATCAGGCCTGCAGGTGAGGGCATGGGGGGGGGGGGGCAGGCCTACAGGGGAGGGTAGTTGGGGGGAACCAGGCCTATAGAGGAGGGCAGTTGGGGGGAACCAGGCCAGCAGGGGAGAACAGTTAGGGGTGACCAGGCAGGCAGGAGAGGGCAGTTAGGGGTGACCAGGCCTGCAGGGCAGGGCAGTTAGGGGGGATCAGGCCTGTAGGGAAGGAAGGACAGTATGGGGGGACCAGGCCTGCAGGGGAGGGCAGTTAGGGATGACCAGGCCAGCAGAGGAGCAGTTAGACATCGATCAGGCTGGCAAGCAGAAGAGGTTAGGGTCAAGCAGGCAGGTGAGAAGTTGGAAGCCAGCAGTCCCAGATTGTGAATCCCAGTGGGATCGGGCCTAAGCGGGCAGTTGGACATCCATCAAGGGGTCTCAGATTGGAGAGGGTGCAGGCTGGACTGAGGGACACCCCCCCACACACACCCTGTGCACGAATTTCATGCACTGGGCCTCTAGTCTAACATATGAATTCAGCAAAGTAGCAGGATACAAAATTAACATCCAGATTAGTGGCATTTTTATACACTTATAATGAACTATCAGAAATAGAAAATGCCCTAGCCAGTTTGGTTCAGTTAATAGAGCACCCATCCATGGACTGAGGAGTCCTGGGTTCAATTCCAGTCAAGAGGACATGCCTAGGTTCCAGGCTCAATTCTTCTAGAGGGCATGCAAGAGGCAGCTGATCAATGCTTCACTCTCATCATTGATGTTTCTATCTCTCTTTTCCTCTCCCTTCCTCTCTGAAATCAATAAAAATATAAGAAAACAATACCATTTACTATTACAACAAAAAAAATAAAGTACAACAGGAAGACAAATTACCCAATTGAAATATGGCAAATGACCTGAATAGATACTCCTCCAAAGAGCACATACAGATGGCCAATCGTATATTAAATAATGCTCAACATCTCTAATCATCAGAAAGTTGCTAATTAAAATGAAAATGAATTATCACCCACACCTGTCAGCAAATCAACAAATGACAAGTGTTGGGGAGGATGTGGAGAAAGGAAATCCTAGTGCAATGTTAGTGAAGATAAAGCTTGGTGCAGCTGCTGTGGAAAACAGTACAGTTTCCTCACAAAAATTAAAAATGAAACTGCCTTTCCATCTCACTTCTGGGAATATATCTAGGGAGTCCCCAAACACCAGTCAGAAATAATACACACAATCCTACATACATAGAAGCAATATTTACAACTAGAGGCCCACGTGCATGGAAGTCATGCAGGTCGGAAGCTCTCTCAATCTGGAACTGCTGGCTCCTAACCACTGGCCTGCCTGCACGCCTGATTGCCCCTAACCACTCTGCCTGCCTGCTTCATCGCCCCTAACCACTCTGCCTATCTGCCTGATTGCCCCTAACCACTATGCCTGCCTGCATGATCGCCCCTAACCACTCTGCCTGCCTCATCTCCCCTAACCCTTAACTCTTCTCCCTGCCTGCCTAATGGCCCATAACCATCTCTGCCTGCCCACCTGATCACCCCTAACTGCTTCTGCCTGCCTGCCTGATCACCCCTACCCCCTCTCCCTGCCCACTTGATGCCCCTAACTGCTCCCCTGCCTGCCTCATCACCCTTAACCATCTCTGCCTCAACCCTGCCACCGTGGCTTTGTCCAAAAGAACATTGGAAGATGTCTGGTCTATCCAGTCTAATTACCATATTATCCTTTTATTAGTATAGGTAACCAAATGCCCACCAGCAGACAGTGGATAAAAAGGCTGTGGTACATTTACACCATGGAACACTATGCAGCAGTAAAAAAGAAGGAGCTGTTACCATTTGAGACAGCATGGAGGGGCTTGGAGAGTATCATGCTAAGTGAAACAAGCCAGTCAGAGAAAGACAAACACTATATGATCTCACTAATACATGGAATCTAATGAACAAAATAGGTCCAGAGGCATGGATCTTAAAGGAGGCTAGGGTGTGGGCAACTGGATGAAAGAAGGCGAAGAGAGTGGCCAAAGAGCATATACGCACAGCCCTCATCAACACAGACAACAGTGTGGTGCTGATTTCAATTCCAGTTCCTGGAGTCTTATGCAGTCTCCTCACTTCCTCTCTCTGGGGTGGCCCTGAGTCCTCTGTGGCTCCACTCCCAGGGATATGCCACGGAGGACTGCCTCTCCGACTAGACTACCAACTCAGCCTGAAATGTCCCAGCAGCATTGTTTATGAATAGCTCCAAAGTGGGAACCGCTCCAATGATGACGTATTTATAGTAGGATAGATAAATTGTGATTTCGTTATTCAATTAAATAGGATTCGGCAATAAAATGAACTACAGCTACATGCTACACCATGATGCAGCAATGAGCCCCCTAGGTCCAAGCAGCTACACTGGAAAACATACCACATCATTCTCTCCCAAAGTTCAGAATCAGCCCAGCAAGCAGCTGGCAATGCCGGCCGCCACCTGGGAGCAGAGGGAGGCGGCGGCTGGCCCTGTGGCTGCACCTGCACAGAGCCCACACTGAAGCCCTGAGAGGTCACCAGGGAGGAAGGTGCAGAAAGGACCACACTGGTGACAGAGCCTCAAGAATCGCTCAGCTGTGCCACCGAGAGAGACAGATGCACAAGATTATTGGGAGAAACCATCGAAAATTACTTTTTACTTGTCTGCCTGATCTGTAGGACTCAGTGGTTGAATGTCAACCTATTAACCAGGAAGTCATGGCTTGATTCCTGGTCAGGGCACATGCCTCAGTTGCAGCTGGATCCCCAGTGTGGGCGTGCAGGAGGCAGCCGATCAATGATTCTCTCTCGTCATTGATGTTCCTATCCCCCTCTCCCTACCTCTCTGAAACCAACAAAAATACTTTAAAAATTTACTTTCTATGACAAGAGAAAGGTGTTAAGAAGAGTAAAAATGAACAATAACGGCTGATGAGCCCAAGGCTTCTTCCACCTGCTGCAACCCAGAGAGTTCCCAGGGCCCAGGTGAGGAGAGCGGTGCCAGGCGCTCACTCACTGCTGAAGCACTTGGGGCAGAGTGACTATGGCCTCAGGGCCACACACGTGCGTCAGGACTGCCAGCTGTGTGGGTGCACACCTGCTCATCGTCATTGGAAGGGGTGATGGACATGCAGGAGGCCAGGGGCCAGGTTCAAGCTCCACACAGCACCACTGAGCTCATGTTGGTGTTACATTCCAGACACACCTCTGCAGCTAGACACACGCAAGCACGGTTAAACCAGTCATCCAGGAACACTGTTAAGGCCAGCCCCCTCTTCATGCGGCGTGCCAAGGAAACCAGCTGGTGTCAATAGAATCAAGAGAACGGTCTTGCTAAGGGGCACATCAGCATTCTACAGGGTCCTCAGGCCCCTGCCCTCGCCCGCTGGCGGTGTAAGCTGCCCAGGGTGTGAGCACAGCGTCAGGGTCTCCCGGTGCGTCCCCTCCAGTGGGCAGCAGTGAGCTCTGTGTGTGCATACATCTGAACGCCTCTGCTTCAGCCTCTACAGATAATGTAACAAACTTACCTGATAAAAACATACACAAAGATTTTACTTTCCTATGAAATTGTTTATAACAAACTACCTAAAGGCTGAAAATCACAAACACATGTTATAAACATTGAGCAATCAGGTATGGTACAGGAACACCTGTTTTCCAGAACTTTGGCAGAGAACACCTCCACATCTGTTAACATGTCACTCCCCATGCATTCCACATCTGATAATATGGCACTCCCCACACATTCCACGTGTTCAGATGGCATTCCCCACACATTCAACGTATGTTTATATGGCACCCCCACACATTCCAGGTATGTTTATATGGCACCCACACACATTGCACGTATGTTTATATGGCACTCCACACACACTCCCCACACATTGCACATATGTTTATATGGCACTCCACACGCATTCCACGTATATTTATATGGCACCCCCTCACTGGAGTCAAAGAGCCTGGAGAGCCTTCTCAGACTCACCTCGGACCTCATGCTGGGTGTGTCTGTGCCCCACCACCCTGCTGCCTCACGCTTGCATTTCACACCACTTGTCTTCCGAGTGTGTCCATGCACCATTTAAGCCCTCTGAGCAGTACCTCGCCCACGGGAACCTTACCTGGGGGCCTTAGCAGGAAGTGTGCCGCAGACATGAAGCCAGCATGGCATGTGAAGGGAAAGCCGTAATCTTCCATTTTCACTTCTAAAAAGGTTATGCTAACTGTGTAAACAGCGTATTCCTTAAACACAACGCAGGTTCTGTGGAAGAGGAGTCAGCATCAGTGCCTGAGTCATATCTTCCCCAACGAGTTTCAGGATCCCTCGTCTGGAGAACCAGGCTCTTTCCTAGAGACACTCCAGCACCGTGTGCTATGAGCACTTCCCCGAGCAGCTCAGGGAGGAGTGTGCATGGTGTAGTTCTAAACTTGCATTCTCCTGGGGACACTGTGGACTCCATCCTCTGCCCCAAAGGACATCCCCTCTCCCTCTCCACTTCCCGAACTTATTGACACGTTCCCTGCCCCCAATCAGCTAATGACCATGCACTGCTCCCCAAGGGTCCCTGTATCGCCATGGGTTTTGCTGCTTAAGGCTGAAGGCCTCTGGTCCATCACGTGCCTGGGGATGTCTGGTGCTCAGTGGCAGCTGACAGACACTGATCTCCTCCCCGCAGGCCACGCCTCGTCACCTCCTCTGGAACGAGGACTGGAGAGTGAGGATCACTGAGATCTTCTTGAGACAAAGACAAAGGGAGCGACCAGAGGCAGGAACCTTCTCGGGAGCAGCGCTAACCCATCACTGAACTGGAGGAAGTGCCGCTGGCTGGCAGAGGCCAGGACGACAGAACACCTACTCGTTTCCTTCTCGGACCCGCTTGGGCTCTGGGTAGTAGTCGTCCACCAAGGTGCTGTTGACCCGCCAGCAGCGCAGGTTGGTGTTGTCCCTGGAGTCCGTGATGGTGCAGTTCACGGTGAGGGAGGAGCCTGAAACCTCATTCACAACACACCGTGAACCGACCTGCAGTGTAGGCTTAACAAGCACACCCTGGCTAGAGCTGACCGCCTTCTCATCCCCAAGACTCCTCCTGGGTCAGAGCTGATCCTTTACCGGACAGAGGGCATAAGGGGCAGGGACCCTGCATCTTTGCTTTTCATCCTAGCGCCATCTACATTTTTATGCTCGTCTAATTTTTGATCTTCTGTGATTTCTTCCACTGATTTTATTTTTGAAAGTACATCATTCTGGCATTAGATTTTTAAAAAATGTCTTTAGTTTTTAATGTAACTTTTGTGATATATATATATATATATATATATATATATACATATATATATTGTGTTATCTAATAAAGATGGAATATGCAAATTGACCACCACTCTGCAACAAAGATGGCAACACCCACAGCAAATAAGGAGGGAATATGCAAATTGACATGACAAAGATGGTGGCGGCTGGCCCAGGACACTTGCTATGGGGGAGTGAAGGGTGGAAGGAGCCAAAGGATGGCGGCAGGGCCGGAGCGAAGGTGGAAGGCGGTGGCCAGAGTGAAGGCCTGGTCCAGGGTGCCAGAGGGAAGCCGGTGCCAGCAGCCAGAGGAAGGAAGGCCTATTCTTGCATGAATCTTTGTGCATCGGGCCTCTGGTAACTTTATAACATACTTTAATATATTTCTTCTCTTTGATTATTTCTTTGCTGACTCTTGCCAGCATTTTTTTACATGACTTTTAGAAAAGCTTTGTCAAGTTTCAGGAAATTCAGTGGCATTTAGTTGGTGAGATATTAAAAGCATACATTAATCTGGGAGAAATAACTACTTCTGATACTGAGTGTCCCATTTGGAAACATGCAATGGAATCACTGGGACTTGTCTTTTTTAACGTCCTTGCCTAAAATGTTGCAATTCTTTTTATGTAGGCAGGTTTTCCAAATTTCCTGTTCTTTTTATTTCTTAATAATTTGCTATTTTTATTGCAATTTTGAATGCCATTTCTCTAATTACATAATATACAATTATTTCAGGTATAAAAAAAGTTCTATTAGATTTGAAAGTTTATATTATATTGGAATTCCTTACGGAATAATTGTGAGTGATCATAGTTTTTTAAGAGAAATTTTTTTATAATTTCCAAGTAGATAACCATAGGTCATTTAAAATAATTATATGTTTACCCCTTCCTCTTTCACAGCAGTTTACATATCTTTTCTCTTTAGTGTCTAAACACAATGGCTAGAATTTCCAAAGACAAGAAGTTAATTAGAAGAGTCAATAACAGATACTCATATTTTCTGGGTGTTTGCAAAATCCACTGGTGAAGTTACATGGCGATATGTAGACAAATATCCTCTGTTATGAGCTTTACTATTTCCTTGAAAGTTTACAAGACCTTTATTAAAATACATATGTAGGTCCAAAGCCTTTTAAAAGATTTTATCTCCTTTCCACTGTTGCTTGATAAGCTTTCTCATTTCTTTTATATTTGAGTTTCTCTACCTTTGGTGGGTTACATTTACTGGAGATTCTCTATCTTCTCTTTTTATCTCCCCCACCCCACCCCACCCCACCACAAACCCTTCTATCCCAGAACCAACCCTGAAACTTATCCTATCTAATAAAAGAGTGATATGCAAATTCACCATCACTCCAAGATACAAGATGGCCACCACAAGATGGCCTGCAGGGGAGGGCAGTTGGAAGAGACCAGGCCAGCAAGAGAGGGCAGTTGGGGCGAACCCAGGCCTTCAGGGGAGGACAGTTGGGGAGGATCCAGGCCTTCAGGGGAGGAGGGCAGTGGGGGCAAATAGGCCTGTAGGAGAGGACAGTCAGACTGTCAGGGGGGGAATGTTAGGGGTGACCAGGCCAGCAGGGGAGGGCAATTAAGGGCAATTGTGCCAGCTGGGGAGCAGTTTGGAATTGATCAGGCTGGCAAGGGAGTGGTTAGGGGCAATCAGGCAAAGGCAGGTGAGTGGTTGGGAGCCAGCAGTCCTGGATTGTGAGAGGGATGTCCAATCGCCAATTTAGGCCCTATCCCACTGGGATAGGGCCTAAATGGGCTGTTGGACATTCCTCAAGGGGTCCCAGATTGGAGAGGATGCAGGCTGGCCTGAGGAACACCCCCTCCTCCATTAACAAATTTCATGCACCAGGCCTCTAATCATTTAATAAAGTCATTATCTTTTTACTTTTACCTTTGTTATTTTCTGCCATGGGTTATTTTGTTGCCTCTTTTTATAAAGTTAAGTGATTAGTTAATGCATTTTTTATTATTTTTGCACTTACTATTAATAAAGATGATATTTATATCTTGTTTAGATTCAGTGTTGGTTGCATTCCATGAAGCTTGACATGTTTTCACTGCCATTATTTTCTAAAGTAATCTGCAACTATGACTGTGAGTCAAATCTAACCAGCAAAGCAAATAAATAAAAGATAAGAGTTGTTGATTTCCTCTTCTGGGACTCTGAGTTTTTCATAATTTGTATTAGTGTGATTTATTTAATACACTATTCTTATCATGTTACTATAATTTTTCAGATCCTGATTTGACTAACAAATTAGTCACATCCTGAGTATATTAAAATCTCCCGCTATAATTGAAATAATTGTATTGTCTTATCATATTGCTTTTGTATATCCAAGAGTTTTATCTTCAAATATTCTGATGCACTGTTATTTGGAACATAGCTTTTTTGGGGTAGAGGAAGGGGGTAATTATAATTTTATTAGTATCAAATGATTTAATTTGTCATTTAATTTTTTGCATTGAAAGGCATTTATCAGATTAAAAGATTCATATTGCCATCCTGATTTCTTTGTGTTAAGTAATACAAGGCATATGAATATATATTTAATCTTCTAGATCATGTATTTTAGAACTATGCCTTTTAAAAATGGCAGGTAACCAGATTTTAATACTTGATTCAACCTCAGCATTTATCTTTTAATAATAATTTATTTAATTTACTTTTTTCTTCAGAAAGTACTCAACTAGTATTTTATTAGTAATTACCTTTACATTTTCAAAAATTATTTGAGCTCCTTTTTCTTCACTTAGATCATAAACTGAGGCAATGTTTACTGGCTCCTTCCTAAGTAAAATAAGGATAACAAGATAACTCTCTCTAGTCCTATAAAATAATTTCCAGTCCGAGATTATATCATTCAGAATTCTTGACCAACGTTGTATTAGTAATTTTATCACCTCTTTCAGGAACTATATTTACATTTTCATTGCCTTTGCATAAGCAGATTTACAATAATGATTCAGACCAGTGATTTCCAATCATAAACTAATTACTAAAATTTGTAACACACCAAAAAATATATTTTTTGCCAATCCGACAAAATAATAGGTGTAATTTTGATTTGTTCACCCTGGATGGCTGTTGTTGTGTTGGCTGTTGTTAGTTTTTAATTTGACAGCCTAGGGGAAGAGGTCAGTGCCTCTGACTACACAGCAGGTAGTGCAGGCTGTCAGATGCCTGAGGTCAGTGGGTTGAAATTCACTCCCAAGACAGCCGTGCTCACTGCCAGGACTTTGTCCCACCACAGCCCAGGACTCAGCTCCCCGGGTTTGTTGTTCCATGCCTCTCCCAAGTAGCTCAGGTACCTCCACGCTGGAAAATGGGATGTGTATGGAATTTTCTTCATCCTTGAAATTCAAGAAATTCACTAGGCTGTGGATTTCTGCCCTTAGTGATTTCAATGGCTTTCATAACTTTACTCACCAAGTTGTGCTTCAATTGTATTGTTTATTGGATGCGTTATTTTAGGGAATCTTCCTGCATATCCAACAATTTCTGCTAAGAAATCATACATGAAATTGCATTAGGATCACATACAATACATTCCCAATTACTTTAATTATAAATTGCATATTAGCCTTTTATTACATAGGATACTAAAGTGATAATAGCATTAAATGCATATTAGCCTTTTATTATATAGGATACTAAAGGCCCTATGTATATAATAGCATTAAAAAACTTGCAGACCCTCAAAAAATATTTGTCAAGAAAAATCAGAACTCATGGTGTGACAAAGTGTTACTCTATAAATGCATATTTTTAAACCAAAAGTAATTGAATTGCTAAGGAAAAAAAAACTAAAAACTGGCCTACCAAGAGAGTTTGCTTTGCATTATCTTGTCTAATAAAGATGAAATATGCTAATTGACCCTCACATCCTCACAAAGATGACAGTGCCTACAGCCAATAAAGAAGGAATATGGTAACTGACTGCCATGCCCTCAAAGACGGCAGCACCCACAGCCACAAGACGGCAATGCACAGTCTCCCCAGTCCTGCTAGGGCAGCAGGCACGTAGCACAGCCAGGTAGTCTGGCCATGCTGAGTGCCTGCCTCCAGAGTCCCCTAGTCCCCTCAATCCCCCAGCCTCCCAGGGCCGACCTGAGGTACAGGCAAGCCCCAAATGGTGGCTTCCCAGCTGCCAGGGCTGCCCGAAGCTCAGGTAACCAAGGCCAGCCAAGGCTTGTGCTGCTAGTAGTGGCAACAGCAGAGGTGTGATGGGGGGATGTCACATTCCCCTGATTTCCAGGCCTCCTCCTGCCCCTAAGGGCTCCTAGACTGTGAGAGGGGACCCCCACTCCAGTGCATAAATTTTCATGCACAGGGCCTTTAGTATCCTATGTAATAAAAGGCTACAATGCAAATTTCCCTCTCAACTGGGAGTTTGATCTGGGGGTGGGGCCAGCTGGCCAACCTCCCACATTCCCTTCCCCAAATCAGGGCAGGCTGGCCAGACCCCACCCATTCACAAAATCATGCACCGGACCTCTAGTATTTACTTATTTGGTGTAAATATAAACTGAAGAGATCTATATATATAAAACCCTAATGTGAAATGGGCTGGACAGTGGAACAACCAAACAGCTGAACAACTGGTCACTGTGACATGCATTAACCACCAAGGGGCATGCATGGAACATGATGGGTTTTGGCAGTGGCGGAAGGGTGGAGCAGGTGAGCAGGAGCACAGACCAAGCAGGGCACTGGTCTCTATCATCTGGGAAAGCTTCTGGTGGTTTCTGAAAATTCTTTACACCCATGTGCCCCGGTCCTGCCCAGCACTGCCATCTGCTGCAGGTGCTGGTCCCACTCGCACCCACTGCCGGTGCCTGACACTGGTCCTGATCACTTGGCACTGTCAGCACATGTGAGTGCCGGCTGCTGGCCTCAATTGTCCCTGAGGGCTTTTCCATCTCCCCCTACTCCTAAGAGACAATTGGGGCAGTACCGCCACTCACACCTGCTGATGGCACTGGCCCCACTCGCAGCCCCTGCTGGTGCTGGCCCCAATCTCTCCACTCTGTTAGCAGATGTGAGCAGGGCCTGTGCCATCAGTGCATGGGAACAGCGGCAGTGGCAGGGGTGGGGCTGCCAGCAGATGGGACCGGGGGCCATGGTGGGAGGGAACAGGCAGGGCACAGAGGATGGGCCGACACCTGTCCTTGTGCCCACTGCAACCTCACGGCCCACAGTACCTTTCAAGTTGCACAAATTTGTGCACTGATCTCCTAGTTATGTAATAAAAATATCTGGTACTCTAAATTACCCTAAAACATTGGCTAATATTAAAGCTCTGGCCTAGGTCCTAGATAGAGAGAAAGAATGACCCTAATGTTTGGTCTTTAGTCCAATTCCTCCATCCCCTAACCCTGCTTTTCATGTCCTTTCTGTCTTTCCCTCCTGTTTTTCTTTAGCTCTTTCATTCCTGCACCCCACTTTATAATTGCTTAGCTTATATGACATGGACCCCCTCACACTCTTGTCTTTCTGTACTACTTCCCTTCCACATTTGTCCACCAAAATTTAACTCTCTATTCTTCCTATCCATTTGGTGGGATGTGGAAATTTATAAAAAAAGTTATTTAAAAACTAGAAAAATGCAAAACATGCATCCTTTAAGATGGCAATAATATTTGCACCTTCTAAAACTATTCAAATTCAGTGCATCCCAAACAAAAGTCATCACCAGCTAGATAATGTGCTGCCTTCCACATGACCACACACATCTAAAATCTGGAAGTCATTCTAGGCAAGAACTTTTCCTTTACCTTCTTCAAGTGACCAGTCACCCAGTCAAACTAATTTTACCTCCTAACACTTCTCAGTCAGTGACTACTTATTCCTAGACCCTCTATTTCTGCTCTCTGCTCTCTCCCTGGGCACACTCATCATCCAGGTCTTCAATTACCCTCTCAAGGCCAGTGACCTTGTGAGCTGTACTGTCTCCTGTTCTTTCTCTAAGAGCCAGATCAACATAGGCCACAGCCTACTCAATGTCTCCACTGAGCATCTCAGAAGCACCAAGTACTCACTTGATCCGTGTATTCATGTTATCCACACGTTATCCATATACTCACTTTACCCATGTACTCACTTTATCCATGACCAAAAGCCTAGCTTCCTTGATCTTGCCACATCCCTCACTTCGCCTCCAATCCAACACTAAGACCTGTGGATTTTACCTCCTAAAATGCCTCTAATCCATCTCATCACATCCCTCCATCTTCAGGGCCATCATGCTGCCTGTACCTACTTGACCTCTCACTTGCATTTCTTCACCTGCCTACTAACCGCCGCTCCTGTTTCTGTAGGATCACCCATGCCCAGTAGCCCCAGTGAGCTTTCAGCAATGTGAGTCCCATCAGCTAGCCTGCTCTCAACCTCTCTGCCATTGCTCTTAGGATAAATCCATGCTCCCCGCTTTAGAGTGCCTATTCCCATCGAATCTTGGCTCCTGACTATTTATCCAACTTTATAACCCACCATGATTTCCCTCACTCGTCATACCTCCAGCCAACCTGTCTGCTCTCCACCCTTCATTGTCTGTTTGGGCCTTCACTTGGCTGCACCCTCAGTCTCAAAAAAGCTCACCCAAGCTTTCCTTGACTTTTCAGAAGGTCCTTGTCTGTTTGATCTATTTTCCTTTCCTTCGTTGCATTCATTGCCTTGGTTATCATCATCAGGACACTGTCTGGTAAATGTCTCCCTCCCACCTGCTCAGGCTTCAAAGCCCTATCAGAGCAGTGGTCCTGGCTGTTTTTCTCACCATCAAGTTCTCGCTACTTAGCACAGGACCTGGCCTTGTTAGGCACTGAGTGAAGACTCACTGAATGACTGCCTGAGAAGAAGCCCTCCCACTTCCATCCAATCTAGATGATCAACACTCTTCTGGGCCTGGGAGAAGCATTCTAAATGGTCCAGGCCTCCAGACCCTCTTCACCTCCTGCCAAACCATCTCAAACGTTCACCATCACAAACACAGCCTTATCGCTCTGTACTTGTACCTGACTCAGGGCTCTTCAGAGGCAACATGATACATCCTGCTTGTAACGATCCCCTTGACCTTGTCCATTGGACTTTATGGCCTCCTTACCTGTATGTACATTTGCTCTAACAAGATTAGTTTTACATCCAACCTCATCTATAATGGCAGACACTGTATGCTTTGCCTTATACTCTCTCTGCTCCTCCTCACTCTTCTTTATTTTCACAAACCCTACTCATCCTTCACAGTTCAGCTCAGATAGCGTTTCCTTTCTGAAGCCTTCCCCGCCATTTACTTGCCCCCATGGGGCGACCTCTGAGTCTCTTCCTGCTCCCTCAGACACTGCCTTTAACTCTGTCCTCACTGTAGAATGTGAAATGCTCTCTAGCTCAGATACTACTCGGCTGAGAGCTTCTCAACAGAAAAAACAAAGTGTAGTTTTTAAAATTTTTTGTTTATCAGATTTTAACAGTTTGAGGTATACAATAGATCAAAAATAAATGTTTACTTCAATTACATAAAATTAGACTCTTGGACTCAGTGACCTCTGACTTATTCTTCAGACACCTTTGAAATTTTGCCTTTCAAAGAGTTCTCTCTGCTACAGATAAAACTAAAGTATAGGAGCAGTCAATCATTCAGTTCAGACATAGATCTTAGTCTGACGTGGGCCAGGCACTGGGTTCAATGTTAGGGCTTCAACTGTGACCAACACAAAGTGCCTACTTCCAGAGTTGTATCACTTACATAAAATCCAAAGCAAAAAATCATAACAACGAATGCAATTAATTTTCATAATGAAGGGACTCCAGGTGGGAAGCGGGAAGCCACTCCAGCTGGACACACCTCCACAGACAGCCACACCATCAAGAAACCCAGTGTCCCCAGGACATGAAGGCTGACAGAAATTAGGGACAAGCATGAAGAGACAAGGCAAAGACATACACAGACATGTGCTATATGGGATTGTTCGCCTCCAGTTTGCATAATGTTATTAACCAATGTTACCCAATAAATTTAATATTAAAATAAAGATGTATTAGCCTTCAGTTTTTCCCATTTAGCGGAGTAAATGTAGAAAACAACTCTTTCCTGGGAAAAAGCCCAGGCAGTGAGCAGAAACCCCTGCTGAGTGTTAGAGGGACCCGCTGCCCGGCCCTACGGCCGGGTTCAGGCCTGTGGCCACCACTGGCCGCTGTGTAAGGGCAGGAGGCCCTTCTCCTCCTGAGCCTCTGCAAACTTAATGGCTCGAGCGACATTGCTGGTTAGGATTTCTTCTCCTGCTAAGATTCGGCTTTAAAATGTTCTGGGCATGTGTTTAAGAAATCCAGAACTCTGAGCTGGGAACTAAGACCCCGTGGGCATGAGGCATCTGGAACCAATTCCAGAGACCATGGCTGGCATGGCCACCAAAAGAGTCACACAGTGAGGGCTCAGGGAAACAGAGTACTTTTCACAATGTCCACCACGCACTACATCCCCTTTCTGGCCAGGCATCCCAGGAGCCATCTAATACAGGATGTGTGTGTGTGTTTCCATTACGGTGGACAAAGGGTTTTGAGTATTCTGTTTTCTCAGATGAGGAAACTAAACTGCTCCTGCCTCATTCTTTCTACCCTGATTCTAACAGGGACATCTGAGAGCCCTCTAACCTTCAGGAAGATCAACCCCTCATCTCAAGGGAGAGCACCATCTCCCACGGAGCTGGGGGCTCAGGCAGGCCGTGAGCGTACTTACTGACATTCACCGCAATTCTCCGGGACACGGTGAACTGCCTCCCTGCGTGTGTCAGGTTGGCTTTGCAGACATAGCTCCCCCTGTCTTCTGCCGAGACATTGTTCACTAACAGCCTTTTCTCCCAATTTTTAAACCGCTTTTCTTTAATCTCTTTACAGTCCTAAACATAAAAGAAAAAATATTCAACTCAAAGAGCCTTTTGGGATCAGTTCCATTCCCAGTTGGCAGCATTCTCTGAACTGGGAGATACAAGAAACTGTGTGACCCCAGACGTCAGGTAGTTTACAATCTACTGAAGACTGTAACCCTCTCCAGGAAGAGCTGACAGAGCGTTCAGCAGGCTGAAATGGTGTTACAAACATCCAGCCTAATGGGGGTCTGCGGACAGGCCTCTCAGGCTGCAGGAGGACTCCGTGGAGGAACACAGGCTGGGCCATAATGCATGCAGTGGGAGGATGTGGACAGGCAGAGTCCTCACCCTCAGGGCCTTCTCTCCCAATGGGCGCCATCCGACGGCACCACACCCCTTGGCCAAGGACTGCTTCACTGTGTCACAGGCCCTGTTGTACCTGCACTCACCAAGGGCTGGCTTTTACAGAGGTCAAAATAACTCCTTACCAACGTCCTATTTGGACCATAGTCAACGTGTGCTAACCAGGTTTAGGAATGATTGACAGCTAACCTGGGGTCCCCCCCGAGTTAGCTGTCAATCATTCTGTGAACACAGCTCAGCAGCCACTCGCCCAGAAGCATTTCCTCAGAAGTCCTGTGACTGACTTCGTGCTGTAATGAAACTATTCCCTTTGCTTGTCTGTCTGCCTTCTGGTGAACTGTAACTGCTGGGCAGCGAGGGCGCTCTCTCCTCAGGACATCCCCAGTGCCTGGCATAACACCGGCAGATATAAGCTCTAAATATTTCATAATGTATCCCATTTCACAGATGAAAACACTGTGGCCCAAGGGGACCCACAGCAAAAACAGAGCCGTAACTGAGGTCGCTGGGTCTGCACAGGTTGACACTGGAGAACGGTCCTTCCTTCTTATATTCCCTGCCTCTCTCCCTCCTCCTGTCTTCCCAGGCAGAGTGGCTATTTTGAATGAAATCTGTCTGGGTCTCCCTCGTGCATGGCCTGGCTCAGCAGCAGAGAAGAGGCCAGGCATCCAACTTTACAAGACACACAGGTTAAAGGTGGTGCGCACGTAGGCCAATCACGCTCTCTGGACTGTCTCCGAGTTTTATAGAAATTGACATGCGTTGTAAGCAGTGGTAAGGATTATAGCACTGCCAAATGCTAACCATTGCCTGCTCCTCTAAGTCTGATCACACGGGAGTGGGAAGGAATAGGTTTTCCCTCAGGCTAGTGGCCGTGGGGGTTGGAAAGCCTGAAATCATGTGGTCCAAACTCTCATTTAGTCTCTAAGGGAGAAATCCAGGTGCAATGCGTCTGCATCTTGACACTGGTGTAGCGGCAGAGTTGATGCTAAAAATTTGCCTCTCAAATGTCACTGCTTTCATGTCTATGATGTCAGCAGGTGCAGCCAGGCCAGAGTCCTCAATGAGGCCCCTGCCCGTTCACACCGGTGCCAGGAGGGGCTGCGAGGCAGTGGTGGCGGCCAGAGGCCTGAGGAGCAGAGTCCAGGAGCCATGAGAGGGAAGTGGACACTGGTTCCCGAGAAGTTGGGCTGGGCTCAGAAGTGGGTGAGCCACACTCCAAAACCTATGGCCACCAAGGTTACTTCTGCATCTCTTCCTAAGGAACTGAAAGAAGAAGGCAAGGTGGGAAGTGTATTGCAGACGTGAATAACAGAATTACCAAACCCAACTGCAGTGCTCTCATTCTTGTGAATAAGCCTGAGGCATTTACAAATGTGGAATTAGAAGGCAGTCTCACCAAATTCCAAACTATTTACAACATATAGAGTAGATTCTCTGCCACAGTGCAAGTAAGCAGAAAAGTAACTTTTTAAAAATCCACTGCATTGCCCTGGCTGTTGTGCTAAGTGGGTAGAGCATCACACAACAAAGGGTCATGGGTTCGACTCCCAGTCAAGGGCACAAACCTGGGTTGTAGGTTCACTCCCTGCCCCTACTTGGGGGGGGGGGGGGGGGTGAGAGGCAACCAGCCAATGTGGCTCTCTCACACTGATGTTTCTACCTCCCCTCCCTCCCTTCCTTTCACTCTGAAAAAGCAATGGAAAAACATATCCTTAGGTGAGGATTAACAGCAACTAAAATCCACTATATTTGCAAATTAGGCAATTCTTAAAAATAATAGAGTTCAAAGAAGAAATAACATTAGAAATTAGAAAATACTTTCAACTGAATAAGAATATATTATATATCAAAAGTGTAGAAAGCAGCTAAAATTAGTTTAGAGAAAAATGACTTTAAATGCATATAGTAGAAAAGAAGGAAGGCTTATAATTAACTAGAGGCCCAACACACAAATTCCCTGCAAGAGGCTCAGCCCTTGAAGCCTAGTTAGCCCTCTCAGCTCTGGCTTCGACTGGATGGTCATTCTGCTATTCAGTCTAATTAGTATATTAGCCCTTTATTATATAGGATCATCCAAAAATCCATCTCATAAAGTTATTAAAATACCAACAAATTAAAACCCAAGAAAACAGGGGAGGGGGGAGATGGCTAAAAGACAGCAGAAATTAATGAAACAGAGTTAACAAAGTTAGTGCTTTGAAAAAACTATTCATGTTGAAAAACCCTTGGAGTCATCAACAAAACAAAACACACACACAGAGAGAGAGAGAGAGAGAGAGAGAGAGAGAGAGAAGAGAGAGAGGAGATATGACACCAGATATGAAAAAAGACATCACCTCAAATCCTACAAACATTAAAAAGGTAATAAGAGCCAAAACTAGTTTGGCTCAATGGATAGAGCGTTGGCTTGGGGACTGAAGGGTCCCGGGTTCGATTCCGGTCAAGGGCATGTACCTTAGTTGCAGGCACATCCCCAGTAGGAGGTGTGCAGGAGTCAGCTGATCGATGACTCTCTCTCATCGATGTTTCTAACTATCTCTCTCCCTTCCTCTCTGTACAAAATCAATAATATATATATATTTTTAAATAAATAAATAAAATAAAACAAAAAGGTAATAAGAGTATATTTTGAACAATTTTAGCTCAATAATTTAAAAATTATAAAAATAAAATGAAAATTTCTAAGCAAGCACGATGTGCTAATTTGCTATAAGAACAGGTAAGGCATCTGAGTGGTTCTATGAATAAGGACACTGAATTCTATAATTTAAAACCTTCCCTCAAAGGAAGTCCCAGTCTTACATAACTTCACTATAAACACTTAAAGCATGTAGCATAAGAAATAAAATCAATCTTAAACATTCCAGAAGAAAGTAAAGATTACTTCCCAAGTTATTTTCCAAGGTCAGCATATCCTTTATACCAAAATTTGACAAGGACAAAGCAGACAACAAAAATTACAAACAACTACTTCATGATTTTCATGAAAAAATTTTAACTAATCAGGCAAGCCAAATAAGACAACAAGCCAAATAAGACAACACCAATTTAGATTATTCCAGTAATGCAACATTGGTATAACATTCACAAATCAGTTCCTGTTATTCAGTACAGAGCAGAGTAAAAGGAAAGAAATCCTACCTAATAACGAGGGAATATGCTAATTGACCCTCACACTGTCACAAATATGGTGGTGCCCACAGCCAATGAGGAGGGAATATGCTAATTGGCTGCCCCACCCTCAAAGATGGCAGTGCCCACAGCCACAAGATGGCAGTGCTCAGTCCCCTCAGCGCTGTGCACCTGCCTCCAGAGTACCCAGTCCCCTCAGCCCCCCAGCTGCCCAGGGCTGCCAGAGGCTCAGGTAACAGGAGCAGGCGGAGGCTTGTGCTTCCAGCAGTAGCAGCAGCAGTGGTGTGATGGGGTGTCACCTCCTGCCTCTGAGGGCTCCTGGATTGTTTGAGGGGGCAGACCAGGTTGAGGGCTCCCCATCCAGGGCTCCCCATTTCCATGCACCAGGCCTCTAGTATCTAATAATTAGAAAAGGCAGATAAAATTTAATATCCATTCATAATATGATTTCAAGCAAACTACAATAGAACTTCCTTGATCTGGTAAAGGGCTTTTAACTCCAAAATAAACATCACACTTAATAGGACTAATAAGAGTAGCCACTTGTTGGGGGAGGGGCATGGGCCCAGGACACACAGATCAGGAGTGGGAAGGAGACTTCAGGGGGTGGTGCTGTGTGATTATTGCAGCATGCGAGGGCCATTCAAACAAATGGACTAATTAATCTGTTAGAAAAGAGAAATAGCCAAGGATGGTCTGGAAAGTAAGGATGGTGGGGGGAGGGGGAAGGTGGAAGATACAAATAATAAAATATTACAAAGCTATAATAACCATAAATTTAAACATAAATAATTAGCAGATAAGATTGGCAATAGCAATTAGCTAACAAATCTGTCTGAGATACACAATCATTTTACTAATTTTGCCTTAAAATTGAAAAAACTAGTGGGTTTTATTTTTTTAAATATATTTTTATTGATTTTTTTACCGAGAGGAAGGGAGAGAGACAGAGAGCTAGAAACGTCGATGAGAGAGAAACATCGACCAGCTGCCTCCCACACACCCCCTACCGGGGATGTGCCCACAATGTCCATGCCCTTGACCAGAATCGAACCTGGGACCCTTCAGTCCGCAGACCGATGCTCTACCACTGAGCCAAACCGGTTTTGGCACTAGTGGGTTTTAAGGAAAAGAAGTTAGAGTATTAATAGGAAAATCCTTTTTTTTTTTTTTTTTTTTTTTTTTTTACCTTATACCACTTTACTGAGTTCAAGTCCAAGACACAACTCTTCGGGAAGTTCAGGTGGCACGAGAGGCTGTCATCTCCCCCAACATGCAGGATCTGCTCGTGCCCATCTGGTAAGTTCCTCTGACTGTTTCTGCGACACCCATATTTTCCAAACACAGTGAGGTTTACATGTACTTGGTGACACACGTCTGTATCACTGTAAGAGATAACAGAGTGGAGCCTCATGAAACAATCACAGAGCCAATGATGCTGGTCATCTCCAAACGCGAGCCGATCCCCAAGAGCACAGTGCGAACCTGCCTGCAGCGGGACCAGCACAGCGCCCGGCCACTGCACCCAGGAAGTGCCGGCTCGTGGGAACTGGGAGCACTGCACCCACTGCACCCAGGAAGTGCCGGCTCGTGGGAACTGGGAGCACTGCACCCACTGCACCCAGGAAGTGCCGGCTCGTGGGAACTGGGAGCACTGCACCCACTGCACCCAGGAAGTGCCGGCTCATGGGAACTGGGAGCACTGCACCCACTGCACCCAGGAAGTGCCGGCTCATGGGAACTGGGAGCACTGCACCCACTGCACCCAGGAAGTGCCGGCTCATGGGAACTGGGAGCACCCAGCCCGGTGACCAGCGCTGACGTGGCCGGCCGGCGGACGCGGCGCCGCTGCATGTGGCCTCCGAGGACACAGCCCGGCACAGTGTTCCAACCTGGAGGCTCGTGGAGAGAGAACCCAGGTTAGGGATTTCATATGAAACAGGTTCCTGTGCTGCTTCTAACAGTCGGCGTCGTGAGGAAGCCTGAGGACTGCTCCAGGGACGGGAGCGCGTGCCGCAGGCCGGCCGCTCCTGCCAGCGCCCCAGAGGAGCGCGCTGCTCCGCGCGGAGGACGGCACCGCGGCCTGCGGAGGGCGGGTGTAAAACACTGTTACAGTAAAACGTCCCAGTGTGTGCAAGAACATGTTTCTGTTTTCAGGAAACACACACTGAAATAGTAAAGGGTCAGGGGTCATACGCCTACAGCGCACATGGTTTGGGAATAATGAGCTAGAAAACTTACCATGTGTGATGCACAAATATACGGAGAGAGAATAATTAGGTAAATGTGGGAAAACATCAAATAATGGGAAATCCAGTTAAAGGGTAAGTGAGAGTTCTTTATACTACTCTTGCAAATTTTATGTGAATTTGAAAGTATTTCAAATACAGTTTACTAAATATGTATCATGTCTATATATGTATATGTTAAAATTTTGTGAAAATTGTTGTTAATTTTCTATTACAGACAATATGTTTCCTTTCTCTAAAAGATGATTTTCCCCATTTCCCAGCACCCAGGTTTAGACACTGTAAGTGCAGTCTGGATTTCAGGGTGAATCTGTGTGACACACAGTCTCCCTTCTAGTTAGTGCACCGCCATGAGCAGTCATCGCCTGCAGGATGGCGATGGCGTGGGCAGTGGAGCCGCGAAAAGGGGCCAGTACTCAGTGCTTCCGCCACTTCTGCTTCTGCACCACCGCGTGGTTTTGTCCCGTAGGTCCGTCTGACATACGAAAATGAGGAATCGTATGATCGGAGCCGGACACAGAAAGGGATCGGCAGATACCACAGAAACAGAATGAGAGCGAATGCAGCTTCCTTCTGGAGGCACCTGCTTCCCACGATCCCAGCTCACTTCCCTTCAGCCCTCTCAGGCTGCATCAGCCCTCTCTGCAGATAAGAGAGCCCAGCCACAGGGTCCCCGCAGGCATTCAGCTCCTGCACGCGCATGACAGTAAAGGCAGAACTGGGTCCAAGGTGTGTTTTATGTAGGTCATGTGCACACACGCACTGATGTTCATGTTTCCTCAGAAAACTGGAAAATAGATGAGCTGAATAGATGCCGCCTTCAGTGAGGCATGCTTCTGGCTCTCCGCAGGCCCACCCGCTCAGCTCTCCCACCAGAGCTGTCATCCATCCACACAGGGCTAGGTCCAGCTCAGCGCACACTGGGCCCGGAACACGCGTGGTGCTTGCCACTGCTCCATTTCCGCAGCAGGCGCCTTACAGAGCGGTGCGCGGAGGAGGCTGGCTCCCCGCTGGACTGCAGCCTGTCGCTGGGCGCGCGGAGGAAGAGGGCAGCAACGGTAACACTGGGAGGCACCAGCTTTGGAAGTCGGTCTGGCTGTGGCATCATTTCCACGGGAAAAGCTGTATTTCACGTTCTAACAACTGATTTACAAGTCTTCTCTCTTTAAAATGTCTTCATTGGAAGTTGTTTTACAACTATAAAACTACGTTTTATTCTTCTCACTGAGTTTTTAAGTTGTTAAGAATTTACTAAGGATTTTCCTAAGAGAATTATAGACATGTAATTATGACTTGTGAGGGAGAGTGTGCTAGTGCTCGTTAAGGGGGAACTTACTTTATAAGGCACCGGTAGGTCCCCGAGTCCCCCCAGGCCACGGGGAGGAACAGGATCCAGCTCTGCTCCTGGTGGACCCGGGCCTGCGGGTCGGTGGAGACCGGGGCCTCGCTCGGGTGTCTGTACCACGTGGCACGCGCTGCCGCGGTCAGCAGAGGGGATGTGCAGTTAATGGCAAAAGGCTGCTTTGCCGGCTGTGCCTCGGTCAGCATGCGGATGTCCTGGCATTCGTCTAGGGAGAGGAAGGGAAGCAATCGGGAGATCTTGCCGTCATCCATTACTAGTTCAACAAACGTGTCAATGCCCGGCCAATTGCATTTGAGAGCTTTCTCAGGGTGGGATGTCCCCAAATAGTGTGCTGATGTGGAAAGCAGAATGCCACATCCTCCATGTATCCATAGGACTGAGTCCCTGCTCCTCCCCACCTTCAGCCTCCGGAAGGAACCGCTCTTTCCCCACCTCCGGAAGGCCTCCTTCTGCCCCTCCCTCGGAGGACCCTTCCTGCTCCCAGCGCTCCTGCCTGCTTTCTGTCACCAGCTATTTGTTCAAAGGCCCACTCGCTTTAAAGTTCCTTCCCGCCAAACTGCTTAGTTTGCATTTGCCTTGGGTCCCACAGCGGCCCTGTCCCCCTAACACAGGCAGCACTGCGCCCATCTGGCCTTTGAACCCAAGTCTGGACTTGCAACTTTGCCGAACCCTCCTCCTCTCCAAGTCACCTGGAAGCTCTAGGGGCCTCTGGGCCGAGCATCCCACTCCGCAGACCCGGCCTGTCCCCTGGGGAAGGTGAGCTGCCCAGCTCAGAGCACCCCGCCCCCCGCACCTCCCCTGCCCCCATACACACACACACACACACACACACACACACACACACACACAGGGACATATGTGAGGGGGCCGGAGACCCAGGCAAAGCCAGCATACCTGCGTGGAGCAGCAGCGGGAGGGCCGCGCTCAGGCACAGCAGCAGGGACGGCGCCCCCATGGAGCTGCGGGGAGAGGGGGTGTCAGGGGCCGGCTCCAGCGACCTCTGAACCAGTGGAGGATCGTGGGTCCACGGGCGGGCGCTGAGGGAGCGGGGCGCAGTGGGGGCAGGAGTGTCATCGCTTCCTGGGAGGAGGCGGTACCCCCTTCCCCGGGCAGCGAGGTGGGATCAGCATCCTGGGGGGTCGCCCCCCGAACACTTCAGCCCTGAGGGTCCTCTGTGCATGGTGAGTGCCTCCCAGCGCCTGAGGCCTCAGGTCCACCGGCCTGAACCCAGATCCCAGCCTGGCCCACCTGGGAGCAGGTGAGGGCCACCTGGGAGGCCAGTGAGGGGCAGTGAGGGCCACCTGGAAGGCCAGTGAGGGCCAGTGAGGGCCAGTGAGGACCAGTGAGGGCCAGTGAGGACCAGTGAGGGCCAGTGGGGGCCAGTGGGGGCCAGTGAGGACCAGTGAGGGCCAGTGAGGGCCAGTGAGGACCAGTGAGGGGCAGTGAGGACCAGTGAGGACCAGTGAGGGGCAGTGAGGACCAGTGAGGGCCAGTGAGGGCCAGTGAGGACCAGTGAGGGCCAGTGAGGGCCATTGGGGGCCACCTGGGAGGCCAGTGAGGGCCAGTGAGGGCCACCTGGAAGGGGCCGCTGGGCGGGTAGGCAGATGTGGGTCCCAGGCTGGTGGGAAGATAACTGGGTCCGACCTTGATCCTCAGGTCGCACACATTTCGCCACCTGGTTCCCGCACACCCACCCGGTTCCCCCCACACCCACCTGGTTCCCCGCACACCCACCTGGTTCCCCCCACACCCACCTGGTTCCCCCCACACCCACCTGGTTCCCGCCACACCCACCTGGTTCCCCCCACACCCACCTGGTTCCCGCACACCCACCTGGTTCCCCCCACACCCACCTGGTTCCCGCACACCCACCTGGGCGCCCCGAGGCTGTCAGGCGGCAGGCGGACAGGAGCCAGGGGCAGGGGCTGGGGTGCATGGAGAGGCTCCAGGCAGGATGGCAGCACCTCCAGGCCTGCTGCTCCCTCCGCCTGGGCGCGGGGAGGCGGCGGGCTCCTGGGCGCGGGGAGGCGGCGGGCTCCCGGGCGCGCGGGGCGGGCTCCCGGGCGCGCGGGGAGGCGGCGGGCTCCTGGGCGCGGGGAGGCGGCGGGCTCCTGGGCGCGCGGGGCGGGCTCCTGGGCGCGCGGGGCGGGCTCCTGGGCGCGCGGGGCGGGCTCCTGGGCGCGCGGGGCGGGCTCCTGGGCGCGGGGAGGCGGCGGGCTCCTGGGCGCGGGGAGGCGGCGGGCTCCTGGGCGCGCGGGGCGGGCTCCCGGGCGCGCGGGGAGGCGGCCGGCGGGCGGGAGCGCCTGGAGCCGGAGCGGAGCCGGGACCGGGAGGCGGGCAGGGGGCGAGGCCCTGCCCCGGGGCCGGCTCGGCCGGAGCTGGGAGCGGGGCTGTGGCCCTGGCGCGGGGACACCCGGCTCTCCCTCCGGCGGACACTCAGCACACGCGGGCTGCGTCCTTCTCAGGACCCGCCGGCCTGTGGGGCTGCGGCCCCCCGGGCACCCGGCACCGGGCGGACCCGGCAAGGACCTGGCGGTGGCTCCGCCCGCCCCCTCTGGGCGCCTGCGGGAGACACGCACTCAGGGTGCGCTCTCACCTTATGGTTCTTCCCCTCTCTCTGTGAAAAAGGAAAAATCAAGAAAAGCTTATTCTCAGGGGAGAATCAGAGCGAGAGGCCGCCGGGCGGAGGGAGGGGCAGGCGGGGGTGGTGGTGGGGAAATAAGAGGAGGCGGGGGGGGGGGGGGGGGGAGGTGAGTGGGGGGAGGGGAAGGGGAAGAGGGAGGGATATAGGGAGGAGAGGGGACGGGGGAAGGGAAAGGGGGAGGGGGGGAGGGGGAGGAGGAAGGGGGCTGGGGTGTGGCCAGCGGCCAGCGGCTTGCAGAGGCCACGCGCTCGGGTTCCGAGGCCCCACTGTGGGTGTGTCTGTCATTACTTGCTATATTAGAAATTAAGCAGCGAGTATTTGAACATTACTTTATCCATTTTAAATTATAACAATAAAAATGCACTATATGTGCATATCAGACATTTTATGAAAAATAACTATACTTTCCAAAGCCAACAAACTTACTGAGAAAAATGACACTGTTTACAAACCACTGCATACCCATGTGCAATATTTGGAAGTCTCTTTGATGTCTAACCCAACAGAAGAAAGCAGGCTTCTACCTGCTTCCGCACCTAATTTCTTACGAGGGAACATGTCAGCCGCCTGCCACCCTGGAGGGAAGCAGCCCGGGACTGTGGGGCCTCACTCTGCCCCTCACAGCCTGCTAAGCCTTCCCCGGGCACCTCACAGCCTGGTGAGCCTTCCCCGGGCCCCTCACAGCCCACTGAGCCTGCCCTCTGCCCTCACAGCCCACTGAGCCTGCCCTCTGCCCTCACAGCCCGCTGAGCCTGCCCTCTGCCCTCACAGCCTGGTGAGCCTGCCCTCTGCCCTCACAGCCCACTGAGCCTGCCCTGGGCCCCTCACAGCCCACTGAGCCTGCCCTCTGCCCTCACAGCCCGCTGAGCCTGCCCTCTGCCCCTCACAGCCTGGTGAGCCTGCCCTCTGCCCTCACAGCCCACTGAGCCTGCCCTCTGCCCTCACAGCCCACTGAGCCTGCCCTCTGCCCTCACAGCCCACTGAGCCTTCCCCGGGCCCCTCACAGCCCACTGAGCCTGCCCTCTGCCCTCACAGCCTGGTGAGCCTGCCCTCTGCCCTCACAGCCCACTGAGCCTGCCCTCTGCCCTCACAGCCTGGTGAGCCTGCCCTCTGCCCTCACAGCCCACTGAGCCTGCCCTCTGCCCTCACAGCCCACTGAGCCTGCCCTGGGCCCCTCACAGTCTGGGTGAGCCTCCTCCACAGACATACTGGGGCCAACGTCCATCCAAACCAAACCATCACAGAGGGCAAGCACGTACACTACACCTGTTGTTATCAGCAGCGTCTTTTTATTTTGTCTTTTTCAGTTTCTGCTTTATGGAGAGACAAGTGTGCACCCCATCTTGTTGCTGTGGTTTGAGGTGAGTATATGCCAAGTCTAATCATACAGGTGCCCCAAGTGTGGGAGCTAAGAAGGCCATCCCAGCCCATCCGCCTCTCTCTCCCGTTGGATGTTTCTGACACTTTACTTTGCTAGTGAAGCCATGGACCTATCTCGTGGGGACTGTGAAATTTGCAATTGAAAAACCAAGGACCAAGATTTAGGACAGGTTCTCAATCACCGTGGAGGAACCGGAGGAACCGGAGGAACCGGAGGAACCGGAGCATTGTTTGCAAGAGCACGGAAGGAAGGAATTCAAACAGAATTCATTATGGAGGTCCCGGTGCAGAACCTCCTAAATTGAATTCTTTATTTTTTCTCTCTAATTTTCACTTTTGATGTTTTTAAATGTGTATCATACAATATTTAAGACCTAAATAACTCAAAACAGGGCATACATTATGTCAGCAAGACTCAGCAGCAGAAATAAAAATTAGCAGTTTTTCTCTATGTACCTCTCCCACCCACTAATTGTGCTACCCTCAGCTTCGTAAAATGTGTGTGTGTGTGTGTGTGTGTGTGTGTGTGTGTGTTCCTTAAGCAATACAAAGTATCGTTGTTCATCTTTACACAACTCTGCTCTACACTGGTAACTTGCTTTCTCTCACTCAGCATTCCATTTGAGAGACCAAGCACTTGGAGGACGTAGCTCTCGTTCACTTGGAACATGTATGGCATCCCACTGCATAGCCAGACCCCATTCACGTAGCCTTCACCTTGGACATTTTCGATGTTTCAAATGTATGTGTTGCTCTTAAAAGTGGTGCTGTAGTGCAGGTTTCTGTAATGTTCAGTCTGGGTTTTCAGAGGTTGGCTGTGAGTGATCAGAGGTCGGTGTGTCTTCAATCATGTTAGAACATCCCTGATTTTCTCCACATCTGTATCCTTTGGAGGATAAGGGTTCCTGCTTCACTTGCTTGCCAACATGTTTGTTCATATCACACTGTTACCTGTGGCTAGTTTTGTCAGCCCAAAGATGTAAAAGCTATCGTCTGATTTCATTTTGCATTCCACTATTGACTGCTTAGTTGGGACATCGTTGGCCACATGTGTGTTCTCCGTATGGAATTCTTCTCATGTGTTTGCCCTTTTGCCCGCTTGGTTTGTCTTCCTCTCATTAGTTTGTAGAAAACTCACTGACTTCTACCTGCGACGTCTCAGGAGGGTGCCTTCCCGGGGAAATGCAGACGCGCCGCCTGGCCCTCTTCCTTACAAGACAGAGTGAGGCGGCCCACTCCTCAGGTGACATCTGTGGACTTCCTTAGCGGAGTGTCTGGTGTGATAGGTCCCCGATGAACCAGACCTCTGATCATCACCCTCTCCCCAAGTCCTCCCCACAATCTCCCAGTCGTAGAGGTTTTTGCAATGCAAATATTCTTAAAAGCCTATGCTATTAGTCACAAGGGATGGGTCCTTCCTGCTGTTAGTCACAGCGATGGGCAATGGACTCTTTCCATTGGTTTATGCTTTTTATGAAGTGAAGCAACTTCCTCTGCAGGTCACCGCCTCCTGGGGAGAGCAGGCGGAAAGCACTGCCTCTGTGTGCGGGGGCGCGGCCGAGTTCAGGTTTGTGGATCTATTTGATCTTCAAGCCAGGATACAATCAGAAGAGCAGCGGGGCAATTATTTATATTAGCGACGGGATGTATATTTTATACATAGTGCCTTATACTTGCTTTAACTAAATATCAGGCTTTCCCAACTCTAAAGAAAAAGCGTATAGTGAGAAGGAAGCAGAAATATGTTTGCATGTCATGTCCCACAAGCGGCTTGCGGCTGGGGCGGGAGGCTGGGGCTCCGCGGAGCTCTCTGCACCTTTAAGGCTCTCTGTCCTCAGTTTTCCTGTGACATTTGGGAATGCATCGCAGCGACTCTATAGCACACTTCCATTGCTGAAACAAATGAACTTTAGAGATGTAAGATGTACAGGAGACAGAGAGTGATGCTAAAAGCATTTGGCTTCCGTTC